AAATGTAAGAAAAAAATCAAATCAATGGATATAAAAATAAATTTTTTTGTTTAGCATACTTTGGAACTACACCCAAGCGATAATTAGTAGGAGGTGCATTATTACTATTATTCATTTGTGTTGCTATCTTATTAGCCATAAAAGTACGTTCTTTGTTTAATTTAATAAAATCTATTTCCTCTTTAGATGATAATTTCGAATTTTTTACATCATTTTTGTTCTGTATATTTTGAACATCTCCTCTATCTAAAGGTGAATTTGTTATATTTCTTGAAGATGTATCAATTTGTTCATTTGTTTCATTTTTATTTATTGTTTCATCATAATTCAAATAATTCTTTGATGGATATCTACATAAAAAGTTTTACTATCAGTGAACATAAATGCTATAATTTTTTTATATACATACTTAATCGTTCCTTCAGAATATAAATCATCAATTTCCTTTGGGTTCAATGTCTGAATACCTTGATTTTTAACTTTAATTGGAATTTTTGTATTATCAATATCTTCAACTAATGTATATGATAAATTAGGATGTACTGATGGTTTCTCATGTACTTTTTGTATAGATTTACGCAGTCCTTTGTGCTGCTTGTTTCTTTGCATAAATAACACATTTTCATTTGTTGAATGTGTTGTTTCTTTAATAAAAACATTGCTTTTGTTTAACATTGAGGTGTTAGATTTTTTATGCAATTCTTGTTCATCTAATTTATTATTTACAATTGAATTCTTATCATTGCCTTCATTTTTTTTTATTCGACAATTTGAGTTCATTTTAGACAAAACGTTGCGACTATGATTACGATTATTGTTACTATTATTACTAATCACTTTTTTCCAGTTGTGTACTTGTAATTTTGGAATTTCTTCTGCTTCTTTACTTATATGAAAATGTTGTTTCATACGGCGAAGATTTTTTACATTCTCATGTATAAAATTTTTTCCTTTTACTGGTTCTATAGAAAGGATAATATTAATTATTAAATACTTTTAAAGACAAATTTATAATAGCTATAATGAATATTCGTAAATATAAAATTATTATTTTCATGTTTCTAAATAATTTCGTAAATAACGTACTCACTTAAGTTAGGAAAAATGCCTTTTAACGTTGTCATGTTAACAAAAAATTGTTGAATATTATGGTCTGAAATGATACCTTTTCTTTTCCTTGTTAATTCATAGATCAAATAATGTAATGAACATTATAATCATAATT